CTGTGCTTTGCTGCGGCAACATGGCCGCCGGTCTTCCCGACGTCATCAGAATAGGTGAGATCAGTGACCGCCTCGCGACAGTCGTTAAATAGCCAACCCTGTTTTCGACGTCGGTGGAAGTCACAGCCTTGTCACTTGTGTGTTTATAACTGACGATTTCTGTGCTCGCAGGTGGGCTGTTCCACCCGGCAGATGACCGCCAGGAGGTGGCCTTTCGTTACGCCGTTGAACGCATCAATGACGACCGCTCGATTCTACCGCGGTCCCGCCTCTCCGCTCAGATAGAGAGGATTTCGCCACAGGACAGCTTCCACGCATCCAAGCGGGGTGAGCACAGGGTGGGGCTGACTGCAGAGCCTTCGTGCCATCGTAAGAACGCCGAAGAGGAACTCTGCAACAGCCGTCAAATTCTGAGTCGCCGAATAAGCTCTTTCGTGTTCTCTGTCTTCGTCCCTCTTTCTTTGTTTTTCCTTTGATCTCTTTCATTTTCTCCCTCCTTCATGTCTTTATCATCTTTTTTGCGTTTGCTTCAATTGTGTTGCAGTGATGGAGACTGAGTGCGTTCAGCTTTCACCAACTCTGAGAAACTTTTGGAGGTTAATTTATTACGTCATCAGGATGTTCTTCAGACAAAGCGTGGCGCTAATTAGCATCACATCTCTCACTAATGTGTCCATTAATCACAAGGAACACAAATGCTCCCTTGATGCGCCACGCATTCCTTGCCACACTCAGTTAATGCTCGGCCACTCAAACTCCACGTCCCATGCTTGGTTCTTCTGTTATGCAGTTTGTCACCTGCTGCGTAGTGGAGTGGCAGCCATCTTTGGGCCCCAGTCTGGTCAGACGGCAAGCCACGTGCAGAGCATCTGTGACACAATGGAGATTCCTCACCTGGAGACCAGGTGGGACTACAGGCTGAGGCGAGAGAGCTGCCTGGTAAACCTGTATCCCCACCCCACCGCGCTGTCCAAGGTGAGCCCTCGTGATCAGAGACTACGGCTATTGCACGGCAAAACCACATCACAAAACGCGCTCCACCAAGCGCTTCTCCTGATTGGTCATGCCAGGCTGTGTTAACTCAGTAACCTGAGATAAAATGACAAAGTATCGGCATATACCAGTTGGTTTTGTGATGGAAGTTGCTCACCTCGTCTCTAGGCGACACAAATCTGTGTTGCAGGCATATGTGGACCTGGTGCGCGCGTGGAACTGGCGTTCCTTCACCATCATATATGAGAACAATGAAGGATTGGTACGCCTGCAGGAGCTGCTCAAGGCGCACGGCCCTTCAGAGTTCCCCATAGCTGTGCGACAGCTGGGTGAGGGCACAGACTACAGGTGAGTGTCCTTGTGACCACGTGCTCCCGGGCAAGTGACCCAAGGTCTGCCTGCACTTAGTACGTGCTGTGGTCGCATGTGGAACGACCGTGTTCATTAACGAGACAAGTGGCATACTGAGCCGTAGGGTCGTCCGTCCGCACGCCGAGAAGCCTCAGAGGAAGGTGGATCGGGGACCAGACTTACTGAACAACCTGTAGCTGTAAGTTCATTACAAACCATGTCGCTTCAGTCCTTCTTGCTCGTAGCCTGGGAAGCTGGGTCCAGCAGATCAATAGCACCTCACTTCCCATTGCTCACACTCTCTCTGCACTGCTGCTACTACCACTCATTCAGAAAACATATTGGAAATATGTGCACTACCAGTTTTCAAAACATTCTGCTGTAAACCACCAGCATTTCCTCAAAATAGTGACTTTATATTGCGTTGATTTACCTGCAGGTTTTTCCGTGTTACGCAGCGTAAAACATTGTAGCATCTCATTACATCACAGGCATAAACTCATTTTGAGAATTTTGTGACATTACAATGAAACAGTTGTACTCCCTGAACTACCAGTACAGTCTGACCTGAAAGCATTGACAGTTATTACAGTTAAAATATATAATATAATTCAGGTATATACACAAACTTTATTTACAGATGTTAAAATTTAAAATTTAAAATTTGCGCTATTCATATTATATATTTTAATTATAAAACACAAACATGACGCATTTAAACTTTAAAGTTATTACAGTATTCTCACTCTTTATGTGGCACTTAACTGAAACATGAACTAATGTCATTCTCACTCTATTGTGAATCCACTCTTAAAACATTCCGTGACATAATGCGTAACACCAAATTAAGAAGCTTGTGTTTCTCAGTCTCTCGGTGGCACCTGTGAAATTGTCCTGAAGAAGATGTGTGTCTGCCTCTAAAACATTGCAGGCCATTGCTGAAGCAAATCAAAAACTCTGCAGAGTCACACATTGTGTTGGACTGTTCTACTGAACGGATTTATGACGTGCTGAAACAGGCGCAACAGATAGGCATGATGAGTGACTACCACAGCTACCTCATCACCTCGCTGGACCTCCACAGCGTTGATCTAGAGGAGTTCAAGTACGGTGGTACCAACATCACTGCCCTGCGTCTCGTGGACCCCGAGAAGCCCGAGCTCCAGAAAGTGGTGCGGAACTGGGTGTATGGGGAGTTGCGATACGGCCGCAAGTTGGACCTGCCACCTCCAAGGGTAAGGAGTTACGCTGTTTTGACAATTCCCTCGCACAGATTCTACTAACAGGCACTTTATGATGCTTCCATCTGTTTCAGGACAACCTGACGTTCATCAAGGTGAGTGTCAGTGGTGGACATCATGGGTATGCAACATGTTGTATCATATGCATCTCTAAAGAAGCAGAATTCAGGCTAAAATCTGTGCTTATCAGAATAAAGCATTCATGTACCCCTATAAGAGAGATAAAATGTGTTCTGCACATATCAGTCACGAAAATAAATTTATACACGTAGAAGTGAATTGTATTTAATGTACGTATAGATGACGTTCCATAGCGCAAAAGCTGCATACATGTTCATTACAGCAGTTGTCTCTTAGAGTGTGAGAAGCCCTCTCCTGTAAAGTAGATTGTTTTCCAGACAGAAACGGCACTAATGTACGATGCAGTGCACCTCTTTGCTAAAGCCCTGCACGACCTCGACAGCTCGCAGAGAATCGATATAAAGCCCCTCAGCTGTGACGCTGTGGACACCTGGCCACATGGATATTCACTCATCAACTACATGAAGATTGTGAGTACATTCATAACTATTAACTGCAGCATAAATTAAAATAAAATTTTAGAGAAATGAGGCCTATAAAATGATGGCATCTAGTTGTAGAGGAGCTGAGGTATCTAACCACTGCATTCTGTTATTAAGCTAAGGTGTCTGGGCACTAAGTACTCTGATACCTTTTGCAGGTTGAGATGCGAGGCCTCACAGGCGTCATCAAATTTGACAACCAGGGATTTCGCAGCAATTTTGTGCTTGACATTGTTGAGCTGAACAAGGATGGCCTGAAGAAGATCGGCACATGGAACTCCACGGAAGGTGTCAACTTCACGCGCACGTATGGTGAGGCCTACACACAGATTGTGGAGAGCCTGCAAAACAAGACATTTGTGGTGACCACAATCCTCAGTTCACCCTATTGCATGCGCAAGGACTCCAGTGAAAAGCTGTCCGGTAATGCGCAGTTTGAGGGCTATGGCATTGACCTGGTGCATGAGATCAGCAAGATCCTGGGCTTCAACTACACGTTCAAGCTGGTGCCAGACGGACGCTACGGCTCGCTAAACAGGGAGACCAATGAGTGGGACGGCATGATGAAGGAGCTGCTGGATCAGGTGAAGACAGAATTGATGCAGGAACTATTAACAAGTATAAATTTTGTTTAGGTTGCCATGAACTCTCAACATAGGCTGTCTGTTGAATCGTGTGTGTGTTTCATATTAGTGATGAAGGTTCTGTCTGTTGCAGAAAGCAGACATTGCCATAGCGGACCTTACCATCACATATGATCGCGAGCAAGCGGTGGACTTCACAATGCCCTTTATGAACCTGGGTGAGCGTGCACAGTAGCTCTCTAGTGTATAAATGCCATGTTAAACAGAGTAGGTGCGTGACAGTGGTGTTTTTTCGACAGGCATCAGCATCCTGTATAGGAAACCAATAAAGCAGCCACCCAACCTGTTCTCCTTCCTGTCACCTCTCTCGCTGGATGTGTGGATGTACATGGCCACGGCCTACCTGGGCGTGTCTGTGCTGCTCTTTATACTGGCGAGGTAAACACAGCAAACCTCAGGTTAGCGTTATTAGGGAAAACATTATGAGGGAATGTGCAGTGTGTACATTACACTGTAAGGGAATGCCTGGATTCTGTATTGAGCATTAAGAGGGAAATGTAAGAATATCCACCGTGTGTTACGATGGAATGGAGCTAATACTCTACTCAGACATTTTGCTCAGCTGTGTCTGTTTATTCAGCTGTTCAAAATATTGCTTGCTGTAATGGAATGCAAACCTTCATGGCCACCATCACAAAAGCCCATTCCTAAAAAGCAGTGGCCTTCACATTTCTTATTGTGTGTCCAGTTATGCTTTAGTCTTCCAAAATTTTGCTTGCACGCTTCTCATGATGCCCTGGGTGTCTGGGTTGCAGGTTCACGCCGTATGAATGGCAGAACCCGCACCCGTGCAACCCCAACCCGGATCACCTGGAGAACCAGTTCACCCTCCTCAACTGCATGTGGTTTGCCATCGGCTCACTTATGCAGCAGGGCTGTGACTTCCTGCCCAAGTAAGTGTATGTGTACGTGTTTATCTGCAGGTTCAGCCCCTACGAGTGGGACAACCCCCACCCCTGCAATGATGAGCCGGACGTCCTGGAGAACCAGTTCAGCCTGCTCAACTCTCTCTGGTTCACTATTGGATCCCTCATGCAGCAAGGCAGTGACATCGCCCCCAAGTGAGCACAAAGGATGTGACATCTGTGCATTGGAATTCTCAGCGTTTGCGCTTTATTACTACGCTCTCTCCACTGTAGAATTCTAATGCTAAGAAAGAACTTTAATTGAAAACCAGTGGACATGACACGCATATTGCCCAAACTTTGGAAGTGTGTTCATGTTCCAGAAGAATTTATTTGCAGAAATATTTAGTGAAGAAGGGACATTGATATTTATCAAGTCTGTTGGTTCAGTTTACGATGTCGGGCACGACTCCTTGGTCGGTCTTTCGTCCACTTCCATAGCAGCATTTATTTTAACATCCTATCGTTCTCAATTTTCTCCCGTGAGCCGGCTTAGCTCAGTCAGTATAGTGAGTGGGATGACCGGGGTGCGATCCCCATCAGGGACAGAGGATTTTTCCTCTAGCGTCTTCATCCAGACCAGTTCTGGGGCCCACCCAGCCCGCTATCCGATGGGTATCGGGGTAAAGTGTGGCCGGAGCGTGATGCTGACCACTCGCCTCCCCCGTCTAGGGCCGAGGTCAAAATAGAGCTGGGCTACTGGTTCAGTTCCTGGTAGGGACAGAAATGTTTCCCTTTACTGCCACTGTGTCCAGGTTGGCTCTGTGGGCCACCCTGCCGTAGGGTGCTGGGCGTTATTTTTCTTGGTGCAAAGCATTTTCTTCCAGCAAGTGTGAATGCTATGAATGTGTAGTTCTTTATACCCGTGGCTTGGTAGTGTTAATTTATTTCTCAAATTGCAACTTCTTTGAATCACATATGTTTGTCTGTTCGGAGGGACGTCTTCCTCAATGAGGCACGGTGTTGGTACATTTCTGTTGTGTACTGTAGCATGTGGCGATTGCAGGGCGGTGTCAACTCGCATGGTGGCCGGCATGTGGTGGTTCTTCACCCTCATCATGATCTCCTCCTACACGGCCAACCTCGCTGCCTTCCTCACTGTCGAGAGGATGGACTCGCCCATAGAGAGTGCCGAGGATTTGGCCAAGCAGACCAAGATCAAGTATGGTGCACTCAGGGGTGGCTCCACAGCAGCCTTCTTTAGGGTGAGTGGAGCTGTGAGAGATTCTTAATGTTAAGAGTGACATTGTTATCTGTTGTAAATTAAAGAAGAAATTTAAATATTTTCTGCAACCTATTGTTGCCCAGGTTTTATGCTGGAACATAAATTGCATGAAAATTGTGATTCCTCTAGGACTCAAACTTTTCAACATACCAGCGCATGTGGAGTTTCATGGAGTCTGCACGGCCTAGTGTGTTCACAAGTTCTAATGTGGAGGGTGTGGACCGCGTTGTGAAGGGCAAGGGAAGCTATGCATTTCTCATGGAATCCACCTCCATCGAGTACGTGATCGAGCGGAACTGCGAGCTGACGCAGGTCGGAGGACTGCTGGACTCGAAGGGCTATGGCATCGCGATGCCTCCCAGTGAGTACGGGCGCCCCTTCCGACGAGGAGGCAGGTCCTGGATAACTAGTCTATTATTAAGACATGTCTGCCATAGTGATGCTTACCTCAGCCTGCAATGTCTCTGTTGCAGACTCTCCATATCGCACTGCCATCAGTGGGGCAGTACTTAAGCTACAAGAGGAGGGCAAGCTGCATATCCTGAAGACTCGCTGGTGGAAGGAGAAGCGTGGTGGTGGGTCCTGCAGGGTGAGTTCTGGCTCACATGCGTCAGGTGTCGCACGGTGCCACAGTGCAATGCTACCGGCATCATGCCATCTCTTCATTTTGCAGGATGACACGTCTAAGAGCTCGAGCGCCGCGAATGAGCTGGGCTTGGCCAATGTGGGTGGCGTGTTTGTGGTACTGATGGGGGGCATGGGCGTGGCATGCGTCATCGCCGTCTGCGAGTTTGTGTGGAAGTCCCGCAAGGTGGCCGTGGAAGAGAGGGTGAGGAACATACTGCAAGACACTTAGCGGTAATTTCACGCTATCTCACTACACAGTGCTGACTCTCCTGTCTGGGTGAGGAGTGTTCTGAGGCAAACAGCCACTTTCTTCTGGGGTAACTGTAGCAATGGCTTATATTCAAGCCACTGACACGCACTTGTATCACTTTTGACATAACGAGATTTTTTTTTTAAATGTTTTGCTCCCCTTTCAGCCGTTGGTATGCGTTTTCTTACAGGAATCCCCTAGAATGAAGTTGCGTGATTTGAGAGATGAAAGAAAATGTGCTTTCCCTGAAATATATTTTAAATTATTTTTATGTGTCTGTGAGAAAGAACATGTTTATAGCATCATTTATAATTTTAAGGAGCTCAGTGGTACGCCAAATACGAGGAGTACATTGATGTGGACCATGTTGTCACACTTCAGTGAACTGGTGTGTGATTAGAGGAGCCCAGAGCAAGAAAGAATCAGTAACTTTATAAATTGGTTTGTGTTGTTGATTATTCCAAATTGCAGGACGTACGGCCACTTCTTCTTGTACCCTGCGTAACCACTTTAGCATCCCTCATCTGACACCATGTATATTTATGAGCCGATACAGCATCGCGGTGGAAGTCGAGCAACTCTTGCTGGGACACGTTGACACAGTCATGTCAATTATGTTTCAAACTGGATACCAACTTGTTGGTTATCCTGTGCCTTTAAGACTTCATGCGGCTACAAAGTAATTGGACAGCTTGTTACTTGAAGAGCAACCTAAAAGAGCACTTAGCCATTCAACACCACATACTAGTTGTTATCACTTTTGAAGTCTTGGATTATTTCTAGACTAGAAGATCAGTTGTCATGATTCAAGTTCTATCGTACCTTTCCTGAGTCGGACCAGGAAAATTCAATTTCTTCTTCTTTCTTTTAATTTTGTAATCAGATTTTGCAGTTGATAGAGGGATGTTAAATTGACAGACATGATGATATTTTTGTGGAAACTTCATCAGTTATTTTTACAGTGAGAGGCAGGAGAGTCGGCCAGACGGGACAGACCACGCGCATATGGGGCTGTGCCCTTTCCAGAATAAAAAAGACAGGCGCTTTAAAGTAACCTGGGTGAGAAAGGAAAGCGCCTCTGCTTTCCTCTGTCACTGGGGTCGTTTCTTGCAGCTGGACTCGTTCCCGGAACAAAACAGGGTGGTTGTACAGCAGCACCAGTGCAATGGGTCAGTGCTGAAAACTTCTCGACAATAATGTGTTACGTAGTGTGTTCAGTTGGCGCCTTGTCTCTGTTGCATTCCCCCGCTTTGGATCGATGGATAACATCAGGAGGTGAGTACCACATGCTGGCCTTCGCATTTCACTCGTGTAGTAATGCAGACTCAAACCAGTGGTTCAGTCACTCATGTGTTTCACTTTCACTTAAGTTACTTTAATATTGCATATCAGCCTTCACATTTGCCATTTGCTGGATTATTGTTCGTTGTTGCTTTCAGTAAAACAGACAGAACTAAGATCCAACACTGCAAATTTCAAAGCTCACCATTAGACATGAATCGGAGCTAATTCCCATCCTCAACTTACTGTCTCTGTTACACCCAGGAGATAGAGGCAGTAAACTCCTCTGAAACATTAGTCAGTATCTACCAGGTCATCCCAGAAGGCAGCCATCTTTATGCTCATCACCATGAGAACCTCAAAGCTCACCCACTAAGTGACCACTTTCTTGTACCAAAGTTCTTTGTATGGTATTTATTTATTATATATTATTGTGTTTGCTGTTCTGATCCTAGCTACATGATTTTAAGATCATAACAGGGCAGTGGTGACATGCATAAATCACTTATTTCATCCCTTCCAGATCCCAGAACTTTGCTTCGAAGTAACCGACTACACTGAGCGGGTCTTTCTTGAGTGCTGCTCGAGGAATTCTCAGTTTTTGTGGAACTTTACAAAAATTGTACAAAATACTGGGACATAATGCAAAACACACGTCTGGTTAAAACCTACGACTGTCTTACATTAGCAGAATTTCTCAACTTATATGTGACACTTGACAGTGCCGTGTAAATTGTGACGAATAGTGTCCCCCTGTTTCAGTCTTCGCTGTGCTCAGAGATGGCCTCGGAGCTGCGGTTTGCCCTTCGCTGCCAGGGCTCCACGAAACCTGTCCGTAAGAGGGTCCCTGTGGGGGGTGGTCAGGAGGGACGCTTCGTGCCCTTGGACCCATACTCACAATACGGTTTTATGGGCAAGGAGCCACTGGCCTGATGACTAGTTAGGTCGCCGTATCACCGAGTAGCTGCCGCTTGTTTCTTTGTTTCACTGCTGTACATTTCATTGCACAACCAAAAAACTGGTTTAAGGCTTAGACACGAAGACTTACAAAGAAATAGTTTGTCATCATATTTCATAATCATAGACAATTATAGAGGAGTACGAGTTATGGCGTCTATTTCTCGAGCAGACGTGCTTCTTCTTGGTCAGTTTCATAATGTGACTTTGTCCCTTAGATTGCATCGTCAGTAACAGGACATATTCACAATTAATTGCAACTGTGAAAGTATGTGGCAGGCTTTTGTGAACACAGCAATGAACTCTTTCAGTCAGTTGAATGTCTGTTGGTTCTCAAGCAGGACTCTGCCCCATGAAGGTAGAGAGGTGGTTAATTATTGTTAGATATTTGTATGATGCAAAATTTAAGATCAGGTGTTGCAAACTAACAAATAATATTTTGATATTCCTGAATATTTCCATTAAAACAAAATTTCTGGAGGACTTTGAAAAATAATATCTCATTGTTAGTGTGGACAGCACGAAATAGCCATGCGGGCCTGCCACATGCCGCCACGCTATTGAAAGCAGGTGTGCTGGTTCCTGACGTCACACTGCCTACGCACACTCAAGAGTTTGTCTGTAATAATAAAATTCGCATCTGCTGTGTGGCGGTTGCATATATCAGAGGGGAAGAAAGAAAATGCACCTGATTTTGTTTCACAGGATCCAGCATGTGCTGGTTCCTGACGTCACACTGCCTACGCACACTCAAGAGTTTGTCTGTAATAATAAAATTCGCCGTGCTGGTTCTTGACGTCACACTGCCTACGCACACTCAGAGTTTGTCTGTAATAATAAAATTCGCATCTGCTGTGTGGTGGGTGCATATATCAGAGGGGAAGAAAGAAAATGCACCTGATTCTGTTTCACAGGATCCAGCAGAAGTGCGGTTTGTTCTCGATGTCTGTAAACTGGCTGACCACTGTTTCTTGTTACTACCTGCAATTTTTGTCTGAAAATTTTTTCATCTCAGTGTATTCATATATATGTAGTGACATCAAAATAGATTACATTGAATTTTGTCAAGTATCTGTTCCAAATATACATCTTACTCTTGCCTTCCGCACAGAAGAACTCTGTACTGGACTGATGGATCTGTACAAATTTTGGTACGCGACTCGCTCCCTTTCAGTTCCTAAGCCGCTACTCAGATTTCGCTCAAATTGTCGACAGTGAAAGTTGCGAGCAAATGAGATTTTGAGCTGTGTTGATCTGACAGTGCTGCAACCACACAAAATAAAATTTGCTGTTAAGCCGAACGTGCTTATTCTCAGAATTCAAGCTCGTTATAGGAGTGATCCTGCTTCTGGGGTGGCAGATTGATGTGAGGTAAGTTTTCCATGTGATGTAGTGATTTCAGTCTGCAACTTCGGGACCTCCGCTTATTTGGTGCTTTGAATTTAATTTAATTGTAACAAAAACTTAAACTGTGTTTGAAATGAGTCTGGACGTTTCATATCAATGTGTCATTACATTTGTTTGTTGTTGTTTTTTTTAGGCCGAAGGTTTTAACTCCTTTATGTACCGAAATGCTGGGATGTGGTGATGAAAGTTTTATGGTTGAAGAAATTGGGTCTCTAATTTAAATTTGTTATGGTTCATTACACTTAATTTGTGGCCCATTTCAAATAAAGTACATGCTGATGTCAGAATAGGGGCAAACAGTATTGCCTTTGAAGCAGATGTTACATTTCGTGTTTTGTAAACATGAAGAGGTGGGAAGACAAGATTAAGGTTTCTTCGTAAATGCAAAGACAGTTTTGATTTATCAAACGGGGATGCGTAAAATTAGACATCACTAATATTGTTACCACAACAGGGATTAAGAAATACAATCACAAATTTTGCTTCAGATTGTAAACGCTGTTGTCTAAAATTTGTTAGCATTGCATGTAATGAAGTCTAATGCCTGTTTCCCTGAACCCAAGTGCATTTTGGCTGTCCGTACCTTCAAGCAAATACAACTAATTGGCTCAGAGAACATTCTAAATTCTGTGCCAGACTTAGTCCAAGAGACTGATTATTGTTTCAAATAGTAATGAAAAGCAGGAACTGGGAAAAGGCAACGAATGATATGTTCTTTTATCTTTGTTCCATATATGCGACAATTGTTTTATATAACAATGGAGTAGGGTTTTGAGTGACTTATGACCGTTTATTTACGTCGTGCCTCATATTTGGGTACAAGCCAGATCCGGGACGACCTAATTTTATAAATAACTTGACGTTCGTGCCGTTTCGAACTGCCCTAAGGCGACAGACGCACGCGAAACGAATTGCGATCTGCATGTTTGTTGTAATTCTGTGTTTCTGAAATCAGCATCTCGTCAGCGTCCTCCTCTTTAGTGCGTGCAGCTGTGACAGAGAGGAACCCCGAATGCCAGGCTCAAGAATATCAAGCCTGGTTTCATGACGTATGGATTATGAGTGTCTCAATTATGGCACCTCTTTTAATATTTTTGTTGTTGGCAGCCGTGGCGGGTCTCCCGGGCACCATAAAAATCGGTGAGTTCAGCGTTGTGTGCTTTGCCTTGCGCATATTGATCTCTCAAAGACACGACTACGTCCCGACTTACGGGAATACAAGCAACAAGCAGTCAGTCAGGAATCTGAAAATGATGCATTTGCTCAGTTTTGCTAAGAACTTGACCGAAATATGTGGACGGTAGGCCCACTCCTTCCATTCTCTTCATGTTTAACGGAACACGCAGCCAGAAATTCGCGAACTTGAATATATTACAACGAATTTATTTTACCTTAATGAAAACGAAAATTTTCAAAGCCTCTGCAAGTTTTACTTGTATCTTTAGATTCTCATATATACGACACACAAAGATTCTGAAGTGAATGGTATAAGAATTCCGTTTGATTCGTTGCTGCTATTCCCACATTCAGGGGGGTTGTTCCACAGCACGGAAACCCTAGAGGAACTTGTGTTCCAGTACGCCACGCAGACGATCAACAATGACAGCATGATCCTGCACAAGAGACTGATGGCCATTCCTGAGCATGTGAAGTCTCATGACAGTCTGTCTGTGTCAGACACAGGTGGGTACTGCGAACGTCGCCATCCGCCTCGCCATGCAGCCCCAGTGTGGCAAGGTCTGACCCTCTGGTCTCTTGCAGTGTGCCGTCTGTTGGGTCAGGGTGTGGCAGGAATTTTTGGGCCACAGGCAGGTTCCACATCAGCCCTCGTGCAGTCGATGTGCGACACGATGGACATTCCCCATGTGGAGACCAGCTGGGATATGAAGCAACGCCGTCAGGACTTCCTGGTGAACCTGCATCCCCATCCATCGACCCTCGCCAGGGTGAGTCAAGTTCTTCGCTTGATCGTGTCTCTGATTCATTATTGATTATCAATCTGTAGTTTGAATGTGTATAATCAGACAGAGTCATCATATGTAAGTTGCCGCACCATGTAGAGAGCACGAACCCCTGTTGTGCGCAGCTGTACATGGAACTGGTGAGTGCGTGGGGCTGGGAGAAGTTCACAGTGCTGTACGAGGACGGGTCCAGCCTGGTACGGCTCGGCAACCTGGTGAAGACGTTGGACAGGCAGGTGACATTGCGGCAGTTGGACGCGCACGGCAACCACAGGCAGGTGCTGCGAGACATGAGGCACTCTGGTGAGCGCAATATCGTTCTGGACTGCTCCATGGGGACACTGCCTGAGGTGCTGAAACAGGCCCAGCAAGTGGGGCTCATGACAAGCGACCAGAGCTACGTCATCACGTCTCTCGTGAGTCACGCACCTCTTGTCCAGTGAATCAGATAGCATGTGAGTGTTGCTGGTGCACATTCTCACTCCAATGGATGTCACTTTTCCTGCTGGATGTTGCATGACACTAACACGAAACTGTACTGAATGTGGGTTTTCAAACACAAGATTTAGACCATGTCTTTGCAAATCTGTCCCCATGTCTGATAACAGAGTTACTAGATACTTCACCTTAAGAGGGGAAAGCAGACTGAAGCCAACCTACTTTGTGTTCCTAGTACACATTAAGACATGAGATATAGTTGAACCATGTTGCATCAACTGTGAATGTTATGTGGCACCATCAGAAGGTTGCGGAGTGAATTTGAATATGCGAGGTGACTGTGGTATAGTTTACTGCACTGCAGGACCTGAGGAAGAGATGAAGATGACCTTATGACCTGGGTATGTTCCATGTTTGTTCCTCAGGATCTCCACACTATCAACTTAGAGCCGTACCAATATGGTGGCACCAACATTACAGGAGTACGAATGGTCGATCCAAACAGCAAGATCGTTCAGTCAGCAGTGAAGAATTGGGGTTACCTCGAGGCAAGGAAGGGCAGGAACATTGGCATCTCCTCTGAAAACATCACGGTGTGTGTAATCCTGAAGCTCTGACTTACCGTTTCCTTCCACATTCTTCCCAATGCATCATTTATCATCATCATCTTCATCCCACTTTACACTATTTTAATATGCAACTGAGAAAGTGGTGCTAAATGACTGAAAAATGAAAAACCAGAAAGAAAATCCATGTGCGTTTTCTAATCTTTCCGCAGATATTATTACAATAATCAAATCAAGGAGGATGACAGAGGCAGGCAGTGCCTAGTCTCCCAAATTGCATCTTCAGTTTGGTTTCTAGATTGTAATTATGTATGATATTCTCATTTGTCTCACGCGTGCTACGATATGAAGATGGACCTAAAAAAATGTGGGCTAGATTGAATTGGTTAAGTTAGGATCCACTGTCAAGCTCTCATGAGCATGCCAATGAAATTTTGGCTTTCACAAAATATGGGGAATTTCTTGACTAGCTGAGCGACTATCAGCTTCTCGAGAAGGACTCTGCTGTGTATAGTTAAAATGTGTTTGGTGTTCAGCTGTGTGCGCGTCAAAGACCAATGGTTTACGTCACACAGGTCAGCATGGCACTGATGCATGACGCAGTTCAGCTTTTTGCTCGTGCTCTGAGCCGTTTGGACTCCCCTGCTGTGGATATCAAGCCACTAGACTGTGAGTCGCAGAATAATTGGGGACATGGTACATCTCTCATCAACTTCATGAAAGATGTATGTATAACAGGTAACTCCAGTCATTTTCTTAGCTGAATGAGGAATTACTCAGCTGTCATGAAATTTGTCTGCCACTGAACTCTGTTGAACTTCGTGTTGTGTAATTGTGACTCTGAGACCAGACTTTCTGTTGTTTCTTCACCTAGCAAACTGAAGCTCATCTTACATCCAACGAAGAAGGTAAAATTCCAATTGGGACAGTGATGTTACACGTAACTAATGTAACAGGCATTGACGTGTGTGCCGAGCCAATTGATGACAGCAATAATTTAGAGAAAACTGAGAGTTTGATTTTTTTTTACCTTTGTGTGATGTGGTATCGATATGAAGTGTTTTAATTAGTTCTAATGACATATCTAATACAATATTTCAGTATTTATCATTATATTTCTAATCCCTTGTGCTATGTTTGTCAAAGAATTAACTCCAAGATGAGGCTTTGTCTTGTTGCCTTACTGTGTTTGCACCACTCACCAACGGATCATGTTCATGTGAACAGGGGCAAAGCACGCTGCATGGACTCACGGGTGTCATCCAGTTTGATAATGAGGGTTTCCGTACCAACATCATGTTAGACATTATGGAGCTGTCATACAGCGGGCTGGAGCGTGTGGGAACGTGGAGCACCAAAGATGGGCTGAACATTATTCGAGCAGTGCCACCCGCCCCACCGCACCACAGTGAGAGCCTCCAGAACAGAACTTTTCGAGTGATAACGGCCTTGGTAAGCTCACTGGTGCTCAAACCGAGGAGGAGTAACTGGTACTGAATACATTAATTTATTACTATTTATTACTCGTATAATGTAAGTTTTTGTGTTGGGGGAGCAAAACCAAAAATGAATACTGACCTGATCACCAGGTATTCTGGCATAAGTTATTCATGGTTTTACCCAGTCACTCCGTCATGTTATAGGTCAGGACCGCCTACTTTGAAATTCATATTAATTGTCATTTATGATCATCTTCCCATCTAATTCCACGAGCCTCTTTCTCTCACGCCCCTCATCTGCATCTTTTTAGCATTGTGAGGTGCTCTTATGGACAGAAATGAAATGAAAACCATTTGTTCTCACACGTTCCTTTTTAAGAGACTGCCTTTGCTTGTTATTCCCAGTGTGAGTACATATTTCACTGTATGTAGTGGTAGCAGGACTCACCAAGCTCCCTTCTGCCGATCACTCACTTCCATCTAGCACTGCACTCTAGGATTCATGAAGGTGTGCATCCATTCCTCCCGTTACAACTTCAGATGGCAACTTCAGTGTTTCTTTATATATTTCATGTTTCTTTGCAGTCTGATCCGTATGGAATGCGTCGCCAGTCCTCTGTCCCCCTGAAGGACAACGATCGCTTCGAGGGCTTTGGAATCGAGCTGATTCACGAACTGTCACTCATGCTTGGGTTCAACTACATATTTGACCTGCAGCTGGACAATGCGTATGGTTCACTCAACAAGAAGACAGGGCAGTGGACTGGCATGATAAAGAAGTTGAGGGATGAGGTGACGCGCGCACTCCGTTTTCCACCTACATTTTATCTTGGTTTGGGGAACACGTGAAAGTAGTTCAACCTTATTTTTTCAGGAGGCAGATCTGGCCATAACTGATCTCACCATCACATCTGAACGTGAGGAAGCTGTTGACTTTACTACTCCATTTATGACTCTGGGTGAGTGTCCTGCTCTATTTTCTGGCGTGCTCATTTGAATGGCTGTCACACTGTCCGTCATGTTGCAGGCATTGCCATCCTCTATAAGAGCCCTCAGAAGGAGTCACCCAGCCTGTTCTCATTCATGGCCCCATTCACCACGGGTGTGTGGTTCTGCATGTTCTCGGTGTACATGGGCGTGTCGATCCTGCTGTGGATCATGGGAAGGTGTGTACTGTGGTGCCAACTTAAGCTAGACTGTCATCATTAACATTTTTAAAAACATAATTAATATTGCATTCTTATGCATGCATGAGGGGGAGCACGTAGATGTATCGGATAACCCAGTAGCACGCTAGGGAAACTGTTGACTGAGAACGGAACAGAGATGAATTAATGCTGTCAATTTTCAGTGATTAGCTGTGGTGATTGTTGTAGGATCTGTCCTTATGAGTGGAACAACCCATACCCCTGCATAGAGGAACCAGAAGAACTGGAGAACCAGTTCACACTACAGAACAGCCTATGGTTCACCATTGGCAGTTTGATGCAGCAAGGATCTGAGATTGCACCCATGTGAGTTTTCTTGCATATTGCTTTTAGTTCAAGGCATGTGCTTTTAAGTAGGTTTCAATGACAGCACGTGTTCCTTATTCTGTACCTGACGTATGCTTGTAAATACACATGCCTGTTGAAATTTGAATTTAAGCATTTATAAAATGAGCATAGATTTAAGATTTGTACTTACATCTGTTGCCCCTTCAGTCGCTTAGTTGTTTCTTATGCACATTACCAAGTTTTGTGCAGTTTGGATGACTTCCCTCATGAAATTACAAGTACACATACTAGCAGTGGGATTTCTGCTATTCTACGCCATTAATTGATCTGAATATTGACATGGGAATTGCTAGTTCTTTTCCTTACATTACTTTTAAGAAAACTATAAACAATTCGCAAAATGGAGAAAGAAAAAATAAAAAATTATGTCTCCAGATGAAACACCCAAAGTGATTTGACCTTCAGCCAAGGGTTTGTGCATTCAGAAAATTCTCCTCAGTTAATAATCATTCATTTTACTTTATTTTTTGTCCAATTGAAACACATCGTACTTCAGCCTCCAACAATAATACAATAAACAGCTGTTTGGCTGCACAGTCCTGACTAAAAGTTTTATGTATTTCACTTTTTATCAGAGACTAGAAGAAAAGGCTTATGGACGATGAATTATTTGGATTAAGTTTGTCACGAATGTTATTTTGAGTTTTGCCCAATCCAGAGCTGTGTCCACACGCATGGTGGCCAGCATCTGGTGGTTCTTCACGCTCATAATGGTCTCATCCTACACGGCCAACCTGGCTGCCTTCCTCACTGTCGAGACCTCGACAACCCCGTTCAAGAATGTGTGGGAGCTTGCAAACCAGAATGTGATAAAGTATGGGGCAAAGAAGGGTGGCTCCACGGTCAACTTCTTTAGGGTATGTGTGTTCTAGATGTGGATGTTGGTGGAATTGCAAGCCTGGAAGAGAAAGATTTATTTAGCAAGGAGTCAGTGTGTGTTTACATGCTTTTGTATGCTTTATTTTCAATGAAGTGATTGAGAACTTAAAACAATTATTAATTCTTTCACATATTTGAAGGTTGTGTGGTCAGTTGATTATAAATGGTGAATGCTGATGGATTTAAGGTAATTCTGTGGTCTTTGTTCTGAGGGACTGAGGAAAAGCTTGAAAGCCCCATACAGAGTTAACTGGCCACAGGCCAAGATTCAAGCTGGAGTAGCTAGATGGTGCACAGTGATTTTCCAATTGAAAAGTAAATACAAAGTGGTTGCTTCTTTTTTAAACCTAACCTCACTTTGGTTTCTACCCTCTTCAAACCACAGTCTCAGGTGCCTTAATATTAACCACAGCTGCTTCTTTCAACATCATTTCTGATTGCTGAAGATGACTGTCTTGTGGACTGTAGCACCATAGTTTGAACTCTCTGCCATGAAAAGCTGAAATTTACTTAATTCTTTCTAATTCATTGTCATCATTAAATGCTGCTATAACTTTCCAATGATTAATGCTGTCATCTGATGATCCCATAAATCAGTGCTCAGTGCCGTTGACCTGAATGCAGCCTTGACCGACAGTGTTTGCGAGGTACTAAAATTTTTCAGAAACATTTCCTGTGTGACTGATTTTAGTTGTTTTGGCAGGACTCAAGTGATTCAAGGTACCAGCATATGTATGCGTACATGATGAGAAACCAAGATGAAGTCCTGACAAGTACCAATGATGAGGGTTTGCAGAAAGTCAAGACACAAAACTATGCCTACTTTATGGAGTCCACTTCTATCCAGTATATCACAGAGCGAGACTGCGAGGTGGCCCAAGTTGGGGACTTGCTAGACTCCAAGGGCTATGGCATAGCCATAAAGAAGAGTGCGTATCAGTACAACATTGTCTCCCGGTGACAGTGTCTTAATTTAATTACAATATAGGATGTAGAGGGTTCACTCCTAGCTTTCCTAAAACAGTCTTTCCTGCTTCATGTAACTCAAGATTGTAAAGTTTATTTCTTTGGAATGCAGTTCTACAATTGTGAAGCTAGCTGCACTGCAGATGTCACACCGCACAGTGCCAGAAATTACGTTTTCTTCAATGTCTCTACCTGTTTGCCATATTAACAAATTTTCAAATGATTTGTTGTAGATTAGAGTGAGGTAATGATTGTTGTGTAGTGGGTCTTTGGTGAAGGTCATTTAGACGTAAGAGTAATTTTGTCTGCTGGTGTGTATCAAATTGAAATTCACCTCACATCTTTCAGATGCTGTTGAAATTTGTCGTGTACTTTCACACCTGAGCTTCATCCCATGACGTGGTCATTTAATGCACTTCTTTATAAAGCATATGAATATGACTATTTTTTTAGAGCTGTACCTAAGTGTCTAATTTTTCTTTTCTTCGTATTTGACATTTTCCAATATTTTTAGGATCTTAACAGAATCTTCGTCATTTGAGCAAGAAGCTGAGTATGTATATTTTTCACACTTTTCAGCATTCGAATAAATAGGTAAGTAATGACGCTTACAAATGTCAGCGACATGTAAGTGCTTCTCTTTGTTACAGACTCGATATACCGAAACCAGCTGAGCACAGCAGTGCTCAAACTGCAGGAGTCGGGTAAGCTCGCCAAAATGAAGAACAGGTGGTGGAAGGAAGAACGTGGCGGTGGAAAGTGTGTGGTGAGTCTTGCTAATGCCTTGGATGCCGTTGATAAGTTGAACTGTAAATGCGTTCAGTACCATGTAGTTACCAGGTTAATTTATTTGTTTGTTTTCTTGTCAGTGAATCAGTCTGTTGGTTAGTTATTATATAAGATACCATATTAAGTGAGTCCCTTTTCACGACAGCATGGAGCGTCATCCTCAGGTTATGGAAGCAGAAGAAGCTGTGAATATATTGAAAAGCGGCCATAGGCGGTTTGCAATGGGTCGCTCC